AGGAGGAGCCCAGTCTTCTTCCCTGAAAGAAAGGCAGCAGTTTTGATCTGCATTAATCAAAAGGTATTCAAGCAGCAATATGCCATTAAAAGAGGGTCTTCAGATTCATTTTAATAAACAGAGGTCACCTTTCATATGCACAGGCTACAGGGTAATAAATTGGTGTTGCTTTTGACAATGTGGGAGAAGTGATCTCAGTCTCAAATATAATCTCATTCGTTGTCACCTATGAAGGGAAAAAGATAGAGAATAGATTACTTTAACACTTTTCTATACTCCATTTCCATTTGAATGCATTAAACTATAAACACGGCATTTTGTAATACAGCACTGCTGAATCCAACATGAACAAGCAGTGCTATCACAGCGGATAAACAGATCTCCATCATTTCTAGCCATGTATTATTACATATACAAATAACTCCAACAACGCAAAGTTAAGAGTTGAATATGGCCCAAATAATTCCCTTTTAAGAACTGTTAAGTACCCTTTGCGCCTCATAGGAAAGAGTCATTAATAGCTCAGTGGCTCATACTACCAAACATGAATAAATCCAATGACAACTCCGTTCCCATTTACTAACAAGGAATTACAGTGAAATTCTTCACCGAACTCACCTGCCTCCTAATATTACAGGTCAAAAATTCAGCATAGAACACTGCCTCGGACCCTTGAGGATTTACTGAAAGTTGGGTTGGAGGACAGTCACCTAGGCGGAGGAGGGATGGATCCACTTGAGAGTTTACATCAATCCATCGTACAGAGACAGAGTTTTTGCCGCAGTCCACAGTGACTGCTGAAGTGAAGTGAATTTGGAGACAGACTTAGAATCAGTGTGTAAAAAAAATCAGCAATATAGTGCACAATGCAAATGCTACAGGCTTGGTGTTAAAACACACTCTCTGGCATAAGCCTCACATTACCTGCTTGGACCACTAAGAAAACAGCCAGAGTTAAAACCACAAACAACAAAAATGAAGGCATTCTAACAATATGCTGTACCATACTTCAAGGAAATACTTATGCACTTTGACTGACAGCTAACCTGATTAAAGGATTCACATCTGAAATGCATTTTTCAAATGAGCTTAATGAGCATCAGCTGCAAATGGTCCAACTCTGATCACATAAACCCCCGGTTTCACAGACAAGACTTAAGCCTAGTCCTAGACTAATATGTAAATCTGAACTGTTTCAACTGAAAGAAACTTGCACTGACTGATCTTAAAACATGTCAGTGCCTTTTTGTCTTAAGATGCACACCAGTAATGCATTTTTCTAAGGCATGTTTATAAAAAAAATTACTTAAATGTCCTAATTGAACTATTTGCTAATCCTGGTTTAGGCTAACCCTTGTCTATGAAACCGGGCCAAAATGTGACAAATATTTGTAAAGTATACAAGTATAGTGTTCAAGAAGAGAGTAGTGCAACATTGTTTTATTATGTGGCATAATACACATGTAAACTGGAAGCACTTTTTATTGGATACAGGTTTAGTTTTATACTGGTAGGTTGTGAATCTATTTGAATACCAGGCATAGGATTTTCGCAACATGCTAATTTAATTAGAATCAACCATAATTACATTATGACAGTTCTGGCAACATTTACAAAAATAACTCTTTAACACTATTAACACATCCTAAAGTAATCACTCCCATGCGGTATTACATGTTCAGCATTACATTTTTTTTTACTGTTTTTATGAGCGTAGGGTCAGTGAATACCTGCATTTTCATTTCACACCTGAGCTGAGATTTTTATTTGATATAGATCACATTAACCAGATTTCCAAGTTTCTGAAGGAATTTTAATGTACTCTTAGTTTTCCACAATGCATTCTATAACCTGCTCCCTTAGTTAGGAGTAATCAGTTTAATTATATATCTGAAGGAACTACTGAGCCACTTTGTGCCATTCATAAACAGAACAGAGTTGACACTTCTTATTTTAGAGGAAGCGATCACAGCAAGAAAGCTTCAAATAATAGACTCAAAGGATATTTCATAGACCTTTAATGAATAACATGTATAAAAGATGAAACAGTCAAAAAAAAAATTATCAGATGACTTCTAAGAGCCACTCCTAATCACTCTCCCCGATCAGGAATTCAGCACCTAAAAGAAAAAAAGTTATTCCAACACAATGGTGATTTATTACAAGAATATCATGTACAGCGTACACTCCACTGACCTGTCAGTCATCCATTGCATCACTAGACAGACACTCAGCCTACCAATGAGGAAAAACAAACCACAATATGCATAACATAATACTATCATAAGACAATATTAAACAATTCTAAGAACATAATTACAAAAGAGAAAGGATGGCACGGAGAAACATCACGGTGAAACTTCTGTAAATGTCAAAGGTCCCAACACTGACTTTAGTACTAGTCCTTGAGGTGCTGTAATCCAGACACATTGCATGTTAACATACCCATATTCCAGTCTTTACCATAATTAACATAAGTTTTTTGGCATTATACACGTTTGATTTACCTGAATCTGTGTCCCTCTTTCCACGGCCTTGACATGCTGAATCACAGCACTGACAAAGAGAACTTTGGAATGGGTCGTCTAAAAGCTCCCACCTTTTATGAAAGCAGCATTATATGATATTTTCCAGTAAACCATATCAACTTAGATTAAATAACGAAGTACAAATCATGTTTACACTTACTCTCCTGTGGCTTTATTATAATTGCAGGCCTTCTTTGCTTCATTGAGGTTGTCAGGGTCCCATGCAATTAATTTGCAATGGATGAAAACCTGCGGAAAAAATAACAGGCAGCAACAAATTCAGATGTTCAACAACTTGCAGTTTCCCGCTGAAGGTGCTCCCTCACCTCTTGTCCCAAAGCGAATCTGAAAGCTTGAAGGTGAAGAATAATCGAGGAGGAGTGATACCTTGGCAAAAACTTGGAAAAGCTCTTCTTACCATCCACGAGACACCTATGATGAGTTCACATTATGACTTGACATTAAGTCAATTATAGAAACATGGCCACTAAATTGAATGAAATAATGTGGCGACTAATGAATATTTCAAATAATCATAAATGTACACCCTTTGTTGGTGATGAGTGGGTATGTAAGAGTATCTGGGTAGATTTCGAATGTTGTGGAGGCTACACATTCCTCCAGAAGCAGCAGCAGAGGCTGATGGGCTTGTTGGTTAACACCAGCCCAAATAGGAACAAAAGATCCCAGTGGAAAGACATTGGATTCTGCAGGGCCACTGAAATTATCTGGAGGGATTATGATATGCAAGTTATTGTTATAATAAGACCAAGAGAATCAGTAGATTTTCCTGCTTACAATTGAGAATTGCCATGTGAAAGGCCAGTTCTCCATGACCTTGAATAAAACCAGCAGAAGAGCTCTGGAAAGTAGGAGTCCAACCCTTTGGCCTGATAACATAATTGAAATGATTGTACATCATTATTGGGAATGATTTGGGGTTGAGAGTCCTGGTAAAGACTTGAGTACCTAGTTGTGTTTACCTGTCATACATGCATCTAACCGGATAGCTGAAAGAAGGAGGGTGGGGCTTTGGCAATGGCCTGTAGTTTAGCTTGTTCTCATACACCAAGTATTTCCATGTTGCCTAATTGGAAGGGAGAAGAAAAAAAAGAAAAGAAAAAAAAAATTCACCATAATTTCAGGATTCAGCGTTTAGTGAAATCAAACTTACCATTCGTCTGAAGCCACAATCATCAAGTCCATAGTAAAAGTCTGCAACTGCTCCTTCATTTGACCGATTTGAGAAGTGTGAAGCCAAGCAGCTACCCAGGAAAAGACGAGCAGGATTTCCAGTCATCGATTTGTCCACTTTCCACTTAACATGAACGGAAAGCTCCCCACATGTAATTTGGACATCTATAGAAAAAGGGAGAGAGGGAGTACTCATGTGTGCCTGAAAGTTGAAGAAAATGGAATAACTCCTCAAAAAGCCAATCCAAACCCAACTATCTCTGTTTAGAAGCTGGTTTCAAAGCAGATAATTAGCAATAAACTAACTATCTACTTGCCAACTGAGGTTCCAAAACACAACTACCAGCTAAAGCTGTATTCTTTTAAATGTTGGTTTAACTTTTTGTGTGCCATAATAAACATTACCATTATGATTATCTTCAGACATTTCAAATGGTGTGGCAACTGCAAAAACCAAAAATCCTAGCCATGGATAATTCATGATCAGGTAGTCCAAACCCAGTGAGACACAAACCAAAGGCTCTCTGTAAGCCCTGAATTCTGCTACTAGGTCTAATCAGTAATTTGTAACAGCTGGCACTGGGGAGGAAATAAATTTAAAAAAAGAGCCGAATTTACTAACTAATCGAAACGTGTATATTTGTATTTATTAGTCTATTTTCGGATTATAAGTAGTTCTTTAGCAATCCACAATTTTATATCAAATCGGCATGGGTTTATGGGGATTTTGGATCTAACAAGACGCCGAAAAGCGGAACCATCGCGTTCTACCAAAACACCCGGAATTTATTTCGGTTACACAGAAAGTTTTTTTCCCCTGTAGAAGCGCTTTAGCTA